TAGCTTCTTGAGCTTTTAGACACATTTGCCCCCTCAGAGTACATGGAAAATTTGTCTATCCACTCACCTTCCTGCAGACAGAATGGCTTGCTCCAGCAGAAACCCACTGATGAAGAGTCATGTCATGCAGAGACCACAATGCAGGGTGGCGGATTCTACATTAGCAAATATATGATATCTGGATAGCCCACAGGTTTGGTAGGTTTCCCTTAGATGATTTTTATTTTACCCAAGGATAACAGGCTGAATTAGGACACTTACTGAGAAATCTGCATCTTCTGCTCGCAGGTGGTCCGCGATATAATGAACTCCTTCCACCGCCAGCTTCAGGGCTGGGGACATCAGCAGCAGATGTTGCTCTTTGGCGCTGTGGGTGTTGGTCCCTTGACCTGTCATGCCAGTGGCCTCGTTCTTTTTGCACTTACATTTGCACTGATAGGGTTTGTGGTGGGGCTGTTCTTCATTTAGGTGGCACCGCTGGGAAGCTGGAGAGCCACTGGATTGGCCATTGGTCTGGGAGGAATCCTCCTGCAGGTAGCAATACTGGATGCTCCGGGACCTACAGCGGATGCTCCCTTCCTCTGCTTTATTGGGGCTGTACATCTGCTGAACACTTAGTGATCGGCCTTTTGAGATGGACGTGCTCTGGGTGTCACTCAGAGGGTGGCACGGGGACTGTGGTGAGGAGCAGGACACCTGAACGGGCTCCGGGTGCAGCACGGTGTACTGGCCAGAAGGGGATTTGCAGACAGGCTGGGTCTTGGTTGGCTCCTCGAGATGGCCGCAGAAGGAAGGTGTGGGTGATGGCTCATTACTCTGGGGGCTTGGGGAAGATGAGGTAGTGAAATTGGGTTCCATGTCTGTCTCAGCCCAAACTCTTGGTGCGCTGGTTATTTTGTGCATGGATTCGATGAGTTTCTTACAATTGTCTTTCACTGCAGAGGGTCGTTTCATAAAAAGGAGCCGTGGGACTATATCAAGGAAGATCCTCCTCACCCAGTCAGGCATGGTGTGGGTACGTGGGGAGCGGTGGTGCACGTTGAGCACAAAGACAGTGATGATGATAGATAAGGTGACAAATATCATGGTGAAGAGCAGATACTCTCCAATCAGGGGGATGACCAAGGAAGTTGAAGGGATGATTTCTGTGATGAGCAGCAGGAACACAGTGAGTGACAGCAGCACCGAGATGCACAAAGTTATCTTCTCTCCACACTCAGAGGGCAAGTAGAAGACCAAGACAGTCAGGCATGAGATAAGCAGGCAGGGGATGATTAGGTTGATTGTGTAGAACAAGGGCAACCTCCTGATGATGAAGGAGTAAGTTATATCAGGGTAGATCTCTGTGCAGCATTCATATTTCTTGCTGTTGTAGTTGCCCACTGCATTTATGATGACCCATTCCCCACTCTCCCAGTAGTCCAGCTGGTCCACGTGGCTGTGCATGCTCACCAAGTCTATCTTGGCTTTGTCATAGGTCCAGGAGCCAAACTTCATTGTACAGTTTTGCTGGTCAAAGGGGAAGAAGGTAACATCAATGCTGCAGGAGCTTTTGTAGATGGCGGGTGGCATCCACTTAATTCTCCCGTCATAGAAGAGGTGGGCCTTGGTCAGGTGAGTGACTGCAAAGTCACCATCAGCACTAGAGATATATAATATGAGAAAAGACTGAGGGAATGGCACAAACTAGCAACTACATTTAACAAGTCAACTAGACAACAATCCAGGATTTTATAGCAGCAAGTCTGTGACAAGCACCATCTCTACAGCAGTGACCACCCTCCAGGAGCCTTGGGGAGGATCTGCAACCTGCTCTAGTTCACATGAAGAGGCAATAATGAAGCATACAGATGTGTACGAGCAGTGTATCAACTTGTTCCAATAATTGTCATGAAAGAAACTCCGTTTTCAAGCAAAAAAATTATCCCTTCACTTGAACATGAGCTGGGTCCTCAGGTAGGCAGACTTTCTGCATGATGATGCTCCAAAACTTCAAGCCCTCTCTCCTTTAACCCTCTGCAGACAGAGCTTTGATATCTGCACACAGCGACAGCCCCTGAACCAAACTGTCTGATCTGAGCAGTGATGACATTTGGACACAGCTGCAAATTTTTCATCCTGGATGAGTGTCTAAAAAATGTCAGTCAGAAAGGCAGGAGGAATGTGGGAAGCGGAACTCCTTGCAGAACAATGACCCCAAGTTTCCCCCTGGGATATGAAGCACGAAGCCAGCCGCGAGAAGCAAAGTGTTGGCAAACGGCCGCGCTACTAAACAGCCGAGAAGGGAAAGGAGAGATTCTGCCTAGACCTTGGGATGAATTATTCAGTGCGATGTAGCTAGAAAGCTCTGTGCTGTCTGCCAAACCCCTGGCTGGAGCTGACCCTGCTGTGGTTTCTGCTCCTCCGTGGCAGCCCCTGTGCAGCTCCACTGCGCTGGGCTCAGACCCTCCTCTTCCTCACCACAAGAACTGCACTGGGAAGATCCCTCAGGGCCCTTTCCAGCTACTGGAAGCACAGGCAGGCCCCCAGAATGAGAGCACATGCCTTTAGCTCTGAGATACTTTTCTAGGTTTGTTGAAATAACAGAAAAGCAAACTTAGAATTATTGCTTGATGTAAAACAAGGGGGTTTAACTAAATTTTTTCTTTCTATAATGGAAATCCTTTATTCTTTGTGACAGATTTTGGAAAACAAAACTGCACAGAAGGATTTGCTGCTTTTTGTCTTCTGCACTTTCTCTAAAGGTTTAAAATTTCCTGTTTTTTTTTTTTTATTATTTTTATTTTTAAGATGGAAAAGCTAAAAAATATGCACAAATACATGATGCTGTCCCTAAAGGTTGAGGCAAAAAATATCATTGCCTTTTCCCCAGCATGAAAGAAAAAGAGTACTACCATTATACCATCCAACTCACTCTTTTCTTTTCTTGACTATTCTTTCTTATATCTAATTTACAATCCGGGACCACTTTCTTTGGATAAAATCTGTGTTTTGGGCTCCTGGGTTTGCCTGTCATGTAAAGCCAGACTGAGACATGAACTACACAGCAAGTGACACTCCAGCATTCACTCTTTTGGGTGGTTTTCCTCCTAAATCTCAGCAAGAATTTGGAAGCCGCTTCTTCATTTAATGAGATCTCTGAGGCACAATTAAAACATTCATTAGCAGAACAATATGTTTATAATTGGACTTACATCAGAAAAAAGAGATAATGAGCATCCACCAGTGTTTTCCCTCTTAGGTAGAGCATTGTTTAAGTGGTCAGATAAAAAATATACAAGTGTGTTTTTCCTTTTGAAAACTGCTCAAAAGCTTTCAGTTGTTGGTTAGTGCTGGAGATGAGATGCTCCTGCATTAAAGTGCAGGCTTCTGAACACAACCACTGTATCTTCTTTGTTGCACAGGAATGTACAACATTTCACAACTGAAGCTTGGGGTCAGGATAGAATGGAAAAGGGGTAAGGAATAAATTCACCAGAGAGCAGGGCATGACGTTTGTTAAAAATGCATCCAGGAGTAGTAGTAGTTTGTCTATATGTTGTGTGTAGCTGGTTAGCACAGACATGATATTTTTGCCTGGAAATGTCTGGTTTGGCATCCCTGCTGTCTGCTCTCGCCTACCTGCATGCTGCGAGCTCCTCTGTGTGCAGCTGCAGAGCTCCTATCTCAGCTCCTTCGGTAACAGGGCTGCTGCTTTGATGAGAAAGGGTTTGTTTTCTTTTCCTGTTTTTTTTTTCCTTTTTGCTTTCCTCACATATCTTTTTGGTCCACGTGTTATTACAGAATAATGTATTATCATTGCAGGAGGGAAAGCTAGAGCAGAATTGCTCCTTGCAACCTGGAGTCAGCTAGTGACTCTTGAGCATCCACAAAACAACCCAAGAACCTCCTGCTTTTCCCTTAGCAACCTGGTGGAGCTATGAAGCAGTTTCAAGTGGGCTTTATTGGATGTGTTTGAGCTTCTCGTGAGCAGCTCAGAGTAGAGATATCTGAGTAATTTGTAAGCAGGGGTAAATTAGTCATGCTGCTGTAGATGGATTGCATCTGAGCCAGCTATACTGTGCAATGGTAGTGGTGACATTTGTCTCAGTCCTTTGTGCCTATATATATCTATAAATACATATGTATATCTATAAATACACATATATGGCATATATACATATTTATGCCTAATACGCCAGGCATTGTACCACTCACACAGCAAGAATATGTTTACTGGATATGAAGCTATGCCAGCAATGGGGGTTTCCTCCTAGAGAGGGGTCTTCATTCTGGGTGAATCTGTTCATGACAAGGTCACCCAACTGCTGATCAACTTTCAAAGCCTTTCCCCTATCATTTCCTCCGAGAGGAGATTGTGCCAATTGACTGCCAAGCCTGGGGAAACACTGTTTCCTTGTGGAAGGCTTTGCTGTGGGAAAACCCACTCTCAGCCAAGTTACACCAACAGCTCCAACTGTGAAATGTGAATGTTTCCTTAGACGAGAAGGAGATCTGATATAGCGGGACAAGGAAAATATGTTTTTGTAGCCATGCCTTTGTAGTGGTAACACATTTTCATTTAATTCAGTCTAGACCACTATGTTGTGACAGTTGTCATGAAAAACCATTTAGAAGAGAGAGCTGGTGAAAGGTAAATAGCACTGCAAGGACTCAGGAGCATTAACACAGTCAGGCTCTCCTGATTACTCTGACCTGACAGCTCTAAATATCTGTCAGCAATAAAGTACCAGAGCTCTCATATTTTCCCGTCAAATACAATAGCGCACACCAATAAAGGCAGAAGACAGTTGCTTTTTCCTTTTCTGCTTGATATAGTTCTACTACAGCCTTTGATTCCACCTTTCTAGAATAAATGCTTTTCTTTTGAGAACTTCTGAGTTTCTAAGGGTTCAAGAACAGCATTGTTTTGCTGGCAGACATCAGCTTTGCCTCATTAAAAAGCTCTGCTGATGGAGAATTTTTTGCCAGTTTTTATTTCTCCTGCAGTTGGGAGATACATCATCTCGCAAATTAAATGTTTTCAGAATGCATGTAAATGAGGCACACATTTATTTTAATTTCTGATTATACAATTTAAAGCCAAACTAAGCTTTAAAAGCCTGAAAAATTAGCTACATGCATATAGGGATATAGCTAAAATGCCCCTCATTTAAAGCATTTTTTCATCTAACAGCACTAACCAATCCAGAACAGGGTCACAAGGCCCTTCAAAAGAATCTGGTAGATGTTAGATGCATCTGTGATGTTCAGATTAAAATACATTCCAAAGGCAAAAGACAGAATTCTTTGTTCAGCAATTTGTACTGTCAAAATGGTCACGACAAATTCACAGGATCACGGAATAGTTGAGGTTCCAAAGGAAGAGCCCTTTGGAGATTGCCTAGTCCAAAGCAGGGTCAGCTACAGCAGGCTGCTCAGGACTGTGTCCACTTGGGTTGTGAATATCCCTAATATCTTGTCTCTTTGGGTATAAGACAGATGAGTCCATCTGTATCTTAGGTAAACAGAAGGAGATGTCTATGCTGAGATGCATACGCCTGCCCAGATGTGCTTCTGTAGAGCCCATTTCAGGTTTTTCTTGCTTCAGATGTTTTTAAATTGTTGGTAATGGAAATTCCTGCTATTCCTCAGTAAAATGAGCATCTGCCTCAAAAATGGCAGTACTACAATGAGAATTTTGTGCTCGTTTCATCACAGGGCTCTAATCAGTGCTCAGTTTGTGCACTTTGAACCTTCTCTTTGAGAAGAATCCTCGTCAGTACATTGGAGACAAATTTCTACCTCTGTGTCAAGAATAAAGGCAGGAGAAAAGCTTGGATGTTAACTCAGCAATAGAGCATGAGAGAGATCTCTTTTATAGATTTCCTTCTATCAGTTCCTGTATTTCTGGAAAGATCTTGGGGTCAAATCTCAAAGACATCTAGAAATATAACTTGTCTCTAAACCAATAGTGCCTTGATTCCAAAAGAACCCGGAAAACTTAAGTGCAAAGTGGCAATTATGGGTCCTTTATAAGCACAATTTAGTACAAAATTACAAGATAATGCTGGGTTAGGAACAGTCAGTAAACAAATTAAAAAATCAAGAATATTTCCAATATTTTATAGGTTAGACTACGGCATTTTCTGGTATTATTCCACAAGCCTCACTGGTTGCAAATGCTGTAGTATAGTTCAAAAGAACAAGTCACTACAGTATAGTTCAAAAGAACTTGCCACTATCTCATGATTTTCAAAAGCCACCTGCCAGCTGATCTTCTCACCCAGCTCAGTAATCCTTTGTGTCTGTATTAGCACTGGGTGAATTCCTGAAGATATTTCCTGCTCCTAATTACAGAAACTTTTATTTGAATTCTCTTCATGTACAATCTTGTCTTTTATTTATTTTTTGTGGTTGTGAAGGCTGAGCCAGGAATTGCTTTCTGGAGCAGCTAACATGAGAAAATATTGAGAAAAAGCAAATTCTGAGGTCTGAATATTCCGAGTGGTTTCTTCCCAGGTATTACAATCACCAGCTTGAGAAAAGTTACAGTGTTATCGTGTCTATCTAGTCAATAACAAGCCAGCAAAGCTCACATTTCAAATTTAACTTTAAATACACCCAGAAATACATAAAATATACTTTAAGTCCATTCATAAATAGAAGAAGAAGCTAATGCAGAGCATTAGATAATTGATTTATAAATTATTGGATTGTGTCTATAGAGCTTTTAGACCCTCAGATAGAGAACAGCTGGCCTTCTTGGCAAAGAAAGACAGAAATGCTCTGTCATTTCACTCAAACTCACATTCCTCCCTTATACATATGTTTTGTCACATCTAGTAGGAACTATTTACAGAGTCTTGGAACTTATCTCATCAAGCCTGAAAACCCAATAGCATATTAATTTCCCCATGGGATATTAATTTGGTTTTAGTTTCTTTATGAATGTTGACAACTTACAAATACTCTCTAGGCCAAACCAGCCAAGTTTACTGATTTAATTTGGGCCTCTAGAGTACATAAATGGAAGTTTTTGACAATAATGAGCTTAGATATGAGTATAATTCACAAGTGGTTAGGTTTCCTTAAAGATGCAAATCTCAAATCAATTTAAGTTTCACCATTTCTATATATTCCCCAAGATGAAAACAGGAGATGCATTAGCTGGTTCTCCTGTCCTTTTTTTCCCCAAATCATGGTATCCCAAAGAGAAGCATCATCATTCTGCCAGTGCACCTTATATGAGGTCCAGCTAGAATAATGACTGCAGCTGGAGGCACGGCTGTTAAGCAGAAGACAGCAGTGCAGGATGCTGATTGTACATCTCAAGACAGAAAATAGTCCACGTGAGGTATGTTTGACACTACCTGAAAGAGCATGGACAAATATAATATTAAAGAGGTGTAGGAGTAATGGAAAACCATTACTGCCTAATGGTTGGCGCCTACATACATGTTTAATTCATGGATAAAGTAACCAATTAAAAATGCATGATAGACTCATGGCAATCAACAGCAGAATATATGATTATTGATCATTAATATGGAGAAAGGGGGAGTCATAGTTTGGATTTAGAGAGGTAGGGCACTTGCAGGTCCAGCGCATTGCAACAGGGTGGCCAAAACCTTCTGCTCCAGCAGACTAGGAGGTAGATGCAAAGAGTCTGGCAACTCCAGCGGATGGGTGGCTTGGACTATGATGGTCCCACAGAGTGTGAAGGTTTGCATAGCACTTTGATTATTTCCTTTGGCACTCCTGGGCTACCTCAGGAGCCTTCAGAAGCTCCTGAAATGATAATCTTTATCAGTGTCATTAATTAAGCAGTGATTTCTCCATCCTTAAGACAGACAGGCACATTCCATTTCTCCGGTGGAAGCCGCGAGCACCTTTCTAGGCTGCAATGTGAAGCACTTGTCACATAATATTCTGCTCAGAGTGTGTCCCTGTAGGGTAGGAAGGCCCAAGTGCCTATGAATTAATCATTTTCATTGCTCTAATCTCTCAGAGGTGCTATATGAAGGCTCAGTGATTTCTAAGAGGTTTGCAATCACTCCCTACGTCTAAGGATCAGAGACAAGCTATTGGAAAAGATAACAATTTCAATAGTTTTCAAAGCTCACAATCCCCTGGACAGACTTCTCCCTCAGCCAATTCTTGGGAAAACAAAAGCAAATTTTATCAAACTAGAACCAGACAACTGTTCATTAAAAAGGGCCTGTCTTTTGCAGTGAGGGTTGTCTTTGAGTGTTAGCCATATACAAAGACGTTTTTGTTTGAGGCTTGCAGCCAGTGTTTCCTCTGGAGCAGGTGCTGGGTTGGGAGGCTGAGATGTTGCAGCATCCAAGAAGATTGGAGAGCTCTGCTGCAGTAACCAAAGACTAGGGGAAAAAAAAATTAATCTTGGGATGTGGACACCCTTCCCAAGAAGATGGGCTCCATAGAAAAGAAAGGAAACAGCCACTGCCCCCACCAGAGTCTGCATGTGGGAGACAGATTTCAAGCATTTGGGTATCAGGTATGAACATCTGTCTAGAAAAAGCCCTAACATTGCATTGCACTGATGTGAAAACCAACATCCAAACCCTCTTTGCCTTAGCAGAGAGTCTCTAAGATCACTATCAAGAGCCTTCCAGTTACCACGCTCACACTCACTTGTTGTAGAGAACAATATCCGGCCTCCAGATGAGCTCTGAGGGGATTCGGATGGATGTGACGTTTTCATATTCCTGGGGGTCCCAGCGCAGCTTGTAGTCGTGCCATTCCTGCCAAAACCAAGGCGGTTTCAGAGCTGGGGGAGTTTGGATTGCAAAACTGAGGAGAAATGGGGAAAAGCACGTGCACCCACCTGCTTCACCCACACGTTCGTGGTCATCATCTGATTCTTCTCATCCTAAAATGCAAGATCAGATGTCTATTACTGGAACAGATGAAGTAGTCCAAAGAACTCATGAAACTTTTCCTAACTGTAATTCATTTTGGTAATCATAAACACCTCAGGAATAAATGCAATCGTTATCTTGGAAATAAAAAACAGATGTTTCTGCCATTTAACATGGGAGAGGGCACAGCTGTCTGATACTCCTGAACAGCTGAGCCTGCACCAAAGCAATCTTGTGAGCAGAGCAACTTGAAATTATTGGGATTTTTCTCAGCATCGATGGATTCAGCCTGGGACCATAGGGACAGGCAGAGGAAAAATGCTCCACAGCCTGGCTCTGACCTCAGCATAGAGGGAAGGGATTGTCAAATAAATACATTCTCCCTCACATGTTGTGTATACATCATGCCTGGGTGATAATAGCTTTGTTTGCAAGCACTTATACGGTGAAACATGTTTAGAGCACACAGTTCTGGAAACCTGAAGCTTGACAGTGTTCCTCTTTCTACAAAATAGATGAACTTAGTCTGGGCTGACTTTCATGAGCAAACCCAAGTGGCACATAATCTTCTGAAAATCTATCATCTGGTGCATACCCATGCAGTGAATGGATAGACTTTTTTCCACTTCTAGGCATAAGAAGGTAAAAATACATGTATAGTATTGAATAGTGTATGGCAGATACAATGCTGGCAGCCCTGTAGTAGAATTAGTTACTATTTGTTGCTTGCCTTTCATGCTGATTACTGATGTAAATTACCAAGGAGAACTACTAGGGGCAGAGCCTAGACCTTGCCCAATTAAAGTGCTGCAGCAGAGCAAAGAGCTTGTCTGCCTGTTTATCTCCTCTTGCTCCCTCTTTGGCCTGGCATCAGAACCTGCTCGGCTGACAGGGTTCCTTTGGAGCAAACAGCTCATCATTAACCTCACTCTTGTGAGGTTAATTAATTCTGAATATTAAAAGCCAAGAGATTCACTGGTGGAAAGTCCTGCTCCTTGTACACCTCGACACTGCACCAAAGGCTCTGCCATCCGCAGAGCCAAACCTCTGGCAGGAGGATCTGCAAGACACAAGGAGACGGGGCTTAGGAGGCCAGATGTGGTTCTCAAGGGCTGCTCCTAGACTCATGTCTTGATCCCCTCCATTCACCCTGGTCTCAGAATAACCTCCGTGCACTGGAGTGATCTAAGGGTACCAAGAGATGTCAGTTTGCACACCGAATTTCCTCTCGGGAGGAGCAGGGTTTTGGGTACGGTTCTGATTTCTCTTCCATATTTTCTGTGTTGGGAGCTGATCATTGCATCTCACAGAGAAACTGGGGTTTGCACCAAGACGTGTTCACTGTCGGAGGGGAAAGGCAGTCCAGAGACCACTGTGATGGGCAGGAGGATGCACCTGGGAGGGGATATCCAACAGCAGTGTGGGATGGGGGGAAGGAGAGCTCTCCTCCAGCTAGTCCCTGGCATTCCATGAGCCCCTCCGCAGAGGTGCCTTCTAGCTGCACTCCTAAAAACTGACATAATTTTCAAATTATGTCTTCTTAAGTACTCTGGGAACAGCGCTGCAAAACATGCGCATTGATCCCACGCCTGCACCATTCAGCAGGTGCAGAACAGAGCGTCTCCCTCCTGCCTCCAGCGTCACCAATGCCTCATTTGGCCTCATCAATTATTCACATGGAAACCATACAGCTCCAGCAGCAGCAAACAGCCCTGGAGCCCCCCGGGCTCACGTAAGGAGAACGGAACGTCGCTGCGCTGCACAGAAGATGCTGCATCTAGACGCTCTTGGGTTTGATTTCCCAGCTCCTGGCTAAGCCAGGCGAATGTCCTTGCATCCCACGTGAGCACAACAGCCCCAAAGATTATTTTTCCCTATGTAAAAACCTGCCTCTCTGTTCTGCCCTCCTCACACAGAGTAAATCCCAATGGCAAACTGAAGGCCTGAATAACTGGGGACTATCCAAGAATGAAGATCATCATAGTTTCCCACCACTGAGGAAGAAGCCAAACAGCTCCTGGAGGGAACAGGCAGTATTGCTGCAACACTGTGCGAAAAAGGTATCAAAGATCTTTTAGGGTTTTTCTTTATTGCTTGGGCTGTTAGAGTTATCCCTGACAGAGGTGCTGGAGCTAAGAAATTGCAGGTTCTCCAAGGGAGAAAACCAAAATTATGGCCAGTCATTGTTCCTAGAAGTTCTTTCTCCTATTACATACATTTTATATTTATATAAATAAGTGCATTTTAATTATGGATAAAATCTCCTATTTATATAAACTTCAATGCATAGCGCAAGTCATCCCGTTTGGTACCTAGCCTATGTAGCTTGTGTAGGTGTGCCTGTGTTAGGGCAAGTATTCAGGAACATGTTTTTCTTGCTAATATCTGCCAGAGGAGCCATGAAACCCTCCCCTTGCAGCAAGCTCTGTCCCAGAGCTGGGTCAATAACTGCCCTCTGACCTCGTGTAAATGATAGTGTTAATAATCATGGATGCACATTTGATTTTTTTTCCCTTAGCCAGTGTCCTCTGGCACTTGGACCAGGTGCTCCTCTGCCCTGTGGGGATCCATTTCCCCCGGATTTGGTGTGAAATCGGAGTTTTGACTGCAGCAAGCACAGCCCCAACTGCACAACCTCGGCCGCCCGGCGCTTGCACTTACGACGTCGATGAGCTGGGCGATGGACAAGCCGAAGCGGACCAGGACCACGTCGGAAATGTTGGCCACGGGCCGGGACCACTTGTTATAGCCGGAGAAGAGCTTCTTGAGGAGACGTTCCTCGGCGTGGGCTCGGGTCTCCACGTGGCCACGGGCTGGGGGCAGGTGAGGAGGGCAGTGAGCGGCGCGCGGCGGTGCCACCCCCCAGGACATCCCTCCTCTGCTTAGTCCCAGTCACCGCTTCAGCCACCGAGGCTGATCCCCAGCTGTAGCGCTTGCAGGTGGGGTGGCTGCTAAAGCCGCTGGAAAAAACACAACATGGCCCAATCTCCCCCCAAAGCCGTTTGCGATTCTTTTGAGCCACTTTGCTAGCCCGGGAGCATCGCAGAGGGATGCTCCCTTGGCTGGCATCGGAGCACAAACAGGGGGAGCAAAGCAGGCTGCTAGGGGTGCTCCGAAGGGTAAGCTGAAAAGGAGAAAGAAGCTTCTCCCCAGCAAAACCTGTTTTTTCTTGGATACACACATGAAAGCTGGGATCAAATATATTGGGGGGGAAAAAAAGCAAATTGGTTAATAGGCAGAAAATAAAAACAAAGCCATACTTAGTAGGAGCTGGTGTAGAGGGACAAGAGGGTGCAGGAGCAGAGAGAAAGCCTTGTTGCAAAGGACGGGGCTTCCTCACATGCCGGTGGCAGGGAGAAGAGCTGGGGAGAAGAGCAGGAGTCAAAACAGCCTCGTTCAACTCACCGGGGAAGATGCTGGCACACAGGAGAAGGAGGAGGTTTCCATCGGACACGCGAAATCCCATGGTGGAGCGGAGCTCACTCCCTAGTGTGCAGAGTCTCCCGGCAGGGCAACTTTTCCTTCCCGAGTCTCCAGACGCTCCAGCTTCATTCCCTTAAACTGCTCCTTCTCCCTCTTCCCCCTGCCTTGAGCAGGGCAGAAGAGCTGGTCCCTCCCTGCCCTTCTCTCTCCCCAGGAGGATGCTCTTCCCAGGGATGCGCGGGGGCTGCGGGCAGCCCTTGGAGCCCGGCACGTGCGGAGTCTCCCTCTCGCTCCGCTCCCTTTCTGAGCTGGGCTGCTCACTCGCCTCCTTGCTGCCGCCGTCCTCTGCGGCTGCTGCGGGTGCTCGGGGCTGCGTGGAGGAGCCGGGAGCGAGCGGGGCAGGTTTGTATATCTAATGCATGCAGACCTGCCCACCTCCTGCCCCGGAGGAGGAGGAGGAGGAGGAGGAGGGAGGCTGCCAGCGATCAGCAGGAGAAATAATTGGGAGAGATGGACCCAGAAGTGGCAGATTTGGGGTCACTGGTGCCCTTTCACAGCACCCGAAGACCAAGCAGCTCCGTGCCCCGACACCGCTGCTCTGGGGTGGGTGCTGCCACGGATATCCCTGTGGAAGGGGTGAGGATTATCCGAGAGGAAAGGGTTGCAAGGCGATGAGCACTGCAGCCCTTCATCCCGCCTCCGTGCACGGGAGACGAGGAGCGGAGCCCTCCCTGCTCCCTCCAAAGGGAGCTGTGATATTAACACAGTTATTTCCCAACCGAGAGCGAATGGATTCATTTTTGAGGAGGGGTGATTTTTGCCAGCTGCAGAATTAATCAAAGTCTCTTCCAATTGGTCTAGCAATATATTTCATGTTTAATAATTTCCCAAAGAATCTCAGATAACTTCCAGCACATGAGATTGCTGGCTGGAAATGGATAGGATTAAAGCAACAAAAGAAATCACGTTTGTAGTGAAATTACAGGTAAAATCAGTTTTGTACCAAACTCTTTTCATCACATCTTGTCCCATCGCTTCCTCAACAGTTGTCAGCCTTTTTGAATTACCCACATGTTTTTCCTATTGGAAGTACAAATTTCTGTGTGATTTGCCTTTGGTGGCAAGAATTATCAGCTAAACACCTCTTATTTGCACCCAACACCTGGGCACCTGTGACATGCCATAAATGTCTACAGGCTGACTATAAAGGCTATATATGTGCCACCACATTGAGGCCAGTGTGTGTCTGTAAAATGGGATTTGCAAAGGCCACTTTTCAAGGGTTAGTGCTCTCACAGGCCATGTGTTGGGCAACCAGACTCCAGGGAACCCAAATCAGCCAGTCCCTTTGGAAAATCTTGGACATAAATTATACAGGTATCCTTGACTACAGGCCTTTCTGTGCAGAGCAATCCAAATCCCATGGACATACTCCATCCATCTTCACCCTGCATCGTTTTCTGTGCTGGTGAGCAAGGAAGCTGGCTGGCAAATACTGCCTTTAGATTAACCCTATAAATAACTTTGATTAAAAATGGATTTCCTTCTTTTGGAAATTAATCATAAATCATCATCTCCTATTAGTGAGAGGTTCATCCCTCACCTCCCTGGCCCTATTTTTATATAATGTGGGGGAAGGAGTATATTTTACAGAGGTTTCTGCGCCTTAAGTGACCTTGTTAAATCTCACTGCCTGTTTCTTTCTGCATCATTGGGCCATAACAAAATTTCCATCAGCTCCTCGATGTATTTGGAAGGCAATGTTTTCCATCAGTGCATGTGCTGGGGACTCAGCCTGACTGGGACAAAAGACGCAATTTAAGGGTTTTAATGAATTTTTATTGTGGGAGAAAGCTGCAATTCCGGCCTGATTCTCAGGCACCCAGCTCTGAGCCTCATCATCATTATTATCTTCCTTTGTTTGGAAAAGATGCGGATAATATGGAGAATCCAGATGTTCAAAAAACTGGGTCTGAACAACCCCGCTAAAGAAGATTGAGCTAAACATAATAAAGGCAGTGTTTGTTCCAAGGTTTCAATGAAATCTCAGGCTTGTTCTTAGAATACTAAAAAAACGAAAGAAACCCGCTCTATGCAGAGGGATGGAGTCAGCCGTGAACTGCATGGCCGGGGCACCCGAGGCCCCGGTGCTTTCTTTGAACTCACTTCTCTCTCTCTCTTCTTGGTCTTCGCTGCTGCTGCCAGTTCTGCAGGGCAAGTCCCCGACCCGTGCTTGTTTTGCAAAATGTCATCTGCATGTTTAGATGCACAGAAACAGGACACAGTAATGATTGTAATAGTAATAATGATGATGCCTGCTCATAGTTTCCTGTCTATTTGGGCTTTGCACAGAAGACAAAGTGAATTAATGGGAATGTGGGAAAATACTCTGCATTCAAAGCAGTTTTCCCTCCAGATTGGATTTTTTTTTCCTTGTCTCCGTTCCAGTGCTGAAGCAAATTTCTCTCTCTTTTTGCTGACACCTTCATCGTCATCAGAGATTTCAGGTGGAGAAGCAGCAGCAAGAGTAAAACCAAGAGGAAGGGCGAGTGTCTCCTTCCAGTGACCTGTGCACTGAAATGGGCAGCGAGGAGGGACATGCGAGGGTGTTGCTGGAAAGCCCGGGCTCCGTCTGCCTCCAGGGAAATCCTCATGGTACTGCTGGCTTCCCAAGAGTGACTGATTTATTCTGATGTATTTCAGATTTTCTGTGGAGTGTCAGAAGGCATCAAAAGACACTTTGAACTGCATCAGACACATTTATTGCAGAGGAGCCTTCTGGCCATGGGGGAAAGTCAAGGCACCTGCATGGGAATAAAAATGATGGAGAAAAAGCAGGCATAGGTAATGCTTGCTTTCAAAGCAGTAAATATGGTCATGGGTGTTTTAATAGCCTCTCTGCTATGAAGCCTCTCTCCAGCAGAGGCTGAAGCACTAGGCTGGAGCTCGTGGTACATCCCAGACCCACATGGACACTGCTTATTTGCACCTTTTGCTGAGAAAGCTCATGGGGCAGGTGGCTCAAGACTGTGGAAGAACAAGGGATGTTGGTAAGTGGGAATTCAGAGCCTGCAGAGCTTCCTCTTGCTGTCCAGTACCAGCCGTGGTCCCGAAGATGTTCAATCCACAGTTCCCATGCAGGATGCAGAGCTTTGTGGGTGTGGAGACATGGAGAAAGACCAAGCCAAGAGATCTGACTCTACCCTATGTGGACACTATCATTGGGGTGCTCGGGGTGCACCATCATCCTGGCCCATAGCGGCCCCCCAGCTCCGACCGTGCTGGCGCGTTCCGTGGGGCAGGGAGCCTCACAGCAGGACACGTCTGCTAATGCAGTCGCTCTCCCTCCTCTCTGTGAGCTGATTAGGATTTGAATCCAAGCGCAAGAGCTCTAATGCATTAAGCTATTGTGTTTCCTTGAAATCCTTACGCATTACTGAGCTGGGAGCTGAGCTCCTTGCAGGATTAGCTCCATAATAAAGCTCTGGGGAGCCTCAGATTGTGTTTACGTCTGGATGGGCTGTTGCAGAGCAGGGGGAATTCTCTCATCACCTTGTCATTGCTTTATCTCCTGACGGATTCCCACCTCTCCCTCCACCACAGATGTCTGATGTGGTGATGATCTTTCTGGCAAGTGATGCTTGGTGACAATAAGATGCATTAATCCAGACACTTCTTTTACTCTGCATTTTTTCTATGTCTTGTTCCTTCCCCAGTCAGTCAGACATGTCTTGTGTATATTTGGATAAGAATCATTATTATTACGTCAACAATAATTACATCAAATTGTGATTCTGGCATGCTAAAAGCAAACAAACAAAATATGCCACCCACTGAAAATGGAAGGATAACAAAGCAACAAGTTAAACCCTCATTACAGCAGGCAGTCCTACAACCATTAGAGACTTCCTGTCACAGATCAGATGAACCTCAGCTTCTTATTTGTAAATGCAAGACATTAGTGAAAAGAGCACAGAAAGAGCAAAGAGGCAGCCTTAGCTTCCCTTGAGATCCAAGAAGATGGATTTTAAATTAGGGAACAGAAGCACATCTCTCTAGACAAGTTTGTTCTCCAAGGATAGCTTTGGTTTCAGTGCTTAGCTTTGTAGATCTAAATTAGGCTCATGTCCTTCCTCACCGAAGGGCAAATGCTGCCCAATTTATTCACCAAAAAAAGTCTGGAGTTGACTGGTTGACAAATCTTTCTTTTTTTTCCCCCATGACCAGCAAAAGCTTCAGCTCACATCTTCCCAAGCAGTACAAACCTTCCAGAGACCTCTACGCTCTGCCCAAGGCAGGACAGGGTGACACTGCAGCTCAGATGTGCCATGTGGGGCTCTCACGGTCCCTCTGGTCCAGAGAACAGGAGCTGGGACCTTCTCCAGCCACCCCAGGTGACTCATTGGAGCTCTGGAGGTGCAACTCTCATGTAAAGCTTTCAATTTCAGTGCAGAGACACCATTTACAACCATGCCAAGACAGTGCTGGTACCCTGAGCACAGGGGGTTTTGGCCAGGGTGGAGAGGACAGCCGAGCACTCCAGGCTGCCTGATCTTTGCTTCAAGGCCCTTTCCTTACCTGCTATGATGGTAGGGCTGAGGTTCAGGAGAAACAAACTGTGAAACAAACTCTGCTTACCTTCAGAAACTCCAAGCTCCCATCTGGTTCCTACTGTGGTGTGACTGTGAGCTGTGTCCTTTGTGCAAAAGTCAGCATTAAAAAATGCAGTCATTGCTGAAAACTTGTCATAAATATTTTGCTTGGCACAAAGCGTTGCCCATAAATATTTTGTTGGTTAACCAGTAGGAAATGATTGCTCTTAAATCTCAATTACTTTTGAGTAGTAACTGGCTCACACTGCTTGGCACTGGGGTCCTGCCGTACGGGAAATAAGGCTGCTTTCCTGCAGCATCTTTGCGTCTTGCAGGCAGCCTTGAAGTGATGATTTCTGGCAATATCTGGAGTTCAACACCTTTTTGTCCCTGTTGAGTTTTGAAGGGCTGAGATTAAAAAAAAAACACCATGTACTTTCTTAAGCTCAGTCCAAAGGGTGTCTGCAGTAGGAGTTTGTGGTGACAGTTCTGTGCCAGCTTC